GACAAAGTTTAAGTGAAGATTTTGCTGTTCAAAAGTGCTATTTTGACCTAATATTTTGACACTTAATATATTATGCATATGCACATCCATTTACCGACCCAAGTATGTCTTATGTATGGCTCATTATCAATTAAAGTGAGTATGAATGAGAAAAACAAATCGAAAACCATTATACGTTTACCTTATCTCTTAATTTGGACATAAAAATATATTTCAACTATAATTCTAGGCCAATTGCGCCTGCTAGAACATCTTAGTAACAATTCTAACCATCCAAAGGAATTGTTAGTGACATTATATTACTTTTATTGTCCATTTTCCTCCGAGATGACATTATCAAACATTTGCTCGGCGGTATATGCGTGTCTTGCTCGGCGGTAGGTTGTATATACACGGGTACTCTTTCCCCTCGCACGAGGGGAAAGAGTACCCGTGTAAATACAACCTACCGCCGAGCAAAGACCCGAAGATGTCTGAAAATGTAGGGGGTGAGTTATAAACTTTTGTTTATATCTTGAATTTCTCAATATGAGAAACAGATAAAAAACAGAATTGTGTGTAACTGATAAAGTTATTGTTCCAGGCACTCATGTTTGCAAAATAATGAGTACTTAGCGCAATGTTTACTATCCAATCGCTAAATTCAACTTTTAAATATTTGAATGATGATTTACATCTTGAATAAGTAACAACCCTGGCTGTCTTTACTTCATTCGATTCAAAGATACAATAGGTGTAAATGTATCATATTTATTTCACTGCCATACGTTGCATATCATTGAAATCACCGGTGAAAGTTGAAAATGAAAGACCCGATTATGTCACGAGTACGATTATATAGGACCCGAAGCTACCACCGAGCTATTCCGACTATACCGTGAGTAGAACCCGATGAGGTAGTGAGTAAGCTTTCGAATGAGCATATAATATCATGACGATATCACAAACATTCCTTTTTATTTATCATATACTCCTGGCACCGGGATATAATATAATATGATATAATTCCCGCAGCACTATACGTCAACGTCTGTTTCCGACAAAGTTCTTTAAAACATTGAACTCATGCTTACACTTGAATCACCATAATTTCCTATGTGTCTATGGTAAGTGTGCAACCCAAAAACATTTAATTCTGCATTGCAAGCGCCATTCTACTCAAAGAACACAACTTGAAGAATCCCAAGCTTCACAAGCTTCATATCCTCGAAACGAAAATTACCGTGATCTTTCTTTGATAATACAATACCATAGTCATAAACATTGTAAATCCATTTTTTGCCATTTAACTCAGGCACATTAACTTTAATACTCAGTAATTGATGGTGCTGACTGAAGTGGACCACAAAGTCATCCATCTCGTGTGATTTATAACTTCAGTGGAAGCATTTGTACCGAGGACCTGAAATACAATGTTTCGATGTGCAGTGGTAACTGGTGATAGCCATATTTTTTCAGTTTCATTTATTGTTCACAACAAAATGATTCACATGAATGATGCAGATTGTATGTTTATTATTTTCTCATCAGCACGTCATAAACTCGACGATATAATCGGATCTCAACAGATTTTACTCAAGTAATGTTCGGATTCTGAGATCCTTTACTCAAGATATTTTCGGATCTTTATAATATTACTCGTCGATCACATCGGGTCCGATGTCCGATAACATCGGATCTTTTAGGACAAAGTTTAAGTGAAGATTTTGCTGTTCAAAAGTGCTATTTTGACCTAATATTTTGACACTTAATATATTATGCATATGCACATCCATTTACCGACCCAAGTATGTCTTATGTATGGCTCATTATCAATTAAAGTGAGTATGAATGAGAAAAACAAATCGAAAACCATTATACGTTTACCTTATCTCTTAATTTGGACATAAAAATATATTTCAACTATAATTCTAGGCCAATTGCGCCTGCTAGAACATCTTAGTAACAATTCTAACCATCCAAAGGAATTGTTAGTGACATTATATTACTTTTATTGTCCATTTTCCTCCGAGATGACATTATCAAACATTTGCTCGGCGGTATATGCGTGTCTTGCTCGGCGGTAGGTTGTATATACACGGGTACTCTTTCCCCTCGTGTACAACGAGATTTTGTTATGACAGCCATCAATCATCAGGTTTAGTGAAATGAATACATGAGAGATTAGTCATTTATATTTGAATATAGCAATTTGTTTGTATTTGTGCAATACATAGCGCTAAGTATGAAAATATAGAATTCTTTGGAAAATCAAAAGTAAAATGCTATTGTGCACTGAGGTGTTACTGATTTACTTTCGGAAATAAAGTCCTAGCAAGAGGGGGCGACCTGATGAAAAGGTTTTAGTAATCTTGGCAGAGTCTGAAACCCATGTTGCATTATTGATGTTAATGTTAAATCGCTAGATATGTATAATTGTGTTATTACTTTTTGGAATTTGTCCTGCCTATTATGGAAAACATGTTAAGCCATATTTATATTATTTCGTACTGTTCGTAAGCAATTTGCATCTTTTATTTTAAAAGACTAACCACTCAGTGCATTTTAAAGATAAAGACAAGTTTCACAAGTAACAATCAGAGATCATTTTGAAGAATAGAGAGAAAATCTAAATAATTTCATGAAGAGTTGTAATTGAAGAGTTGAAAAACGCTCAGTCATGAAAGACAAGTCAAGTGAAAAGTTTGTATGTTGAAGAGATAGAAAGACTAGTTACTTGTCAATGAAGAGAAATTGATGTCTTGAAAAAAATTAAATTCATGAAGAGTTTAGAACACGAAGAAGACTTGTTTATGTCACATAGAAAAGCAAGTTAAAGACATGTTAATAAAAAATGTTTCTTAAAGACACTTTTGGAGAACTTTTTGAGAATTAAAAAATTAATTGCCCGGGATCCCAGTAAGCGATTTCCTATGACGACCTGAAGTAGATGACGACTACCTAACCGTGAAGAAGCGATGAAGATGACCTGTGAAGGCGATGCCTATGTCTTATGGAGATGCAGACGACGCGGATTTCGGATGGAGTGGAGCCACAGAGGATTTCGACAACTGATGAAGGAGCTGAAGATGTACGATCTCTTGTTATTATGAACAATTCTTTTCTCCAACGAAAACGTTTATTATGAACACTGCTACAAGGAAATGGATATTTTATTATGGATTCTTCAGCTAGGATACGGACATATTCGATAATGGACACGATGCGGACGTGCATGTGATATACGGATTGTGGATATTATTTCGACTCCTAAGACGGTGCATATTTTGGATTCGAAAACATTACATCGTGGACTAGATGCACGTATTACAGCATCGCATTGGATCCAGGACTAGATACGCGGATTATAAAATCGGAACTTATTATGGTTTATTATAACGACGTTTATCAACAGGAACTACGTATGAAGCAAGGATATTTGCACGAACTCTGCGTGGATATTTCATATGGATATTGGATATGGATATGGATTATACACGAACTATGTATGCGGCACTGTGTTAGTAAACATTTATATGGGACTTTAAAAAAAAAATATCATATACATTTATTTAGATTTTGCGTATTTCAGTTTTTTTTAGTACGTACAATGTCAGGAGAATTGTCATTTTATTTGGGTGGGGTTGTATAGCATTTTTCATGTTGATTTACCGTATTGTGCTGCCATCTTTCAATGGGTTTCTTATAGGTTTTGTAGGGTAAGGGATTGCCTTTCATTTCCTATAACTTGGGGGTATTTAAGGGTTCACGTTTAAGTTTCACTCAAATTAACATCAATAGCAGAGACATAATTTTTTCAGGTGGTAAGTTTATGAGGATAATTTATAATGATTTAATAATTATTTATTTCTCTTAGCTATTGATGTTAATTTAAGTGAAACTTAAAATTGACCTCAAACGATGTACTTGATTCGCAAAAAAACGTCATTAGGCAAGGAAAAATAATTTGTTTTTTATATATTATCTCGATTTTTATCCAACATTACAATGTTATTTTCAACCAATTTCCCCGTAATACTTGAACTGATAAAATGACCGAATTGATTTAGCTTCTAGGAACAGTAAGTGTAGAAACATTAATTCACGAGGCAGTTTTGAACAAAAGCCTGTAACATTGAACTATACGCATTAATATTTCGAGGTCAAAATAAAAAAGAGCCTACACTGATATCCCTCCACAAGACTAGTCTCACGGAGCGGTAGGCAAACTGCGCGCCTATTATGCACGCAGTTTGGAACACTGACAAACTGCGCGCCTATTCACAAAATGGCAGACAAGGAGGACACGACTCCCAAGAGGATGGAAATTACTGGAAATACAAGGTTAGTTTTGGTTTTCAGACAGTACCAAGATGTGGAGACTAACTTACTTTAAATGTAGCACTCGATTATTTTCCCGATGCATATCTAGTTATCTCAAAATAAGGTTCCCCAAGAGCTTTCGTGTTCAAATTATACAGTGTTGCGTCATATAATGTCTGTTTTTCGTAGTTTGACGTTTATTCAGCCCTTGCGTTTGCATATACTGAAAGATATAGGATTGCTGCACATGGTTTAAGTAATATAGTTTGTGTGTTAAACAGTGACAAGCCATTAACGTGATTTTTTTTCGCTGTCAAACTGCGTGCATACTTTCACGTGGATTTCACAAACTGCGTGCCTAATATTTACAAACTGCGCGCCTATATTTACAAACTGCGCGCCTAATTTGCAAACTGTGTGCAAGTTTGTTGTACACATTTTCAGAAAACGTAAACGCCACTCACTAAACCTGTCCCTATATAAAAAGAAACCAAAGTCTGACCCCATCAAAGATGTAGATAACAACAGCGCATCTTCAAAAACCATGACACCCCCTTCAGAATTAAACAAGATGAAGAAAAGGAAACCAATCAAGAAACCAAAGAGGCGATTATTTAAAGGTACCAGTGACTCATTTGAAAAAACATTAAAAGACTGTGAAAACCTCTTGCCTGATGTCCTCTCAAACCTTAACAATGAAAATGACAATTATAGTCCAGAAACAATGAAATTTTGGAAGGTTTGCTGTAGACAATTCCATGGGAAGTTTCTACGATTCATGACAGGTGACAGGGAGTCCCACCACATAAATTTTGCCGTTCCGACTGAAAAAAACATCAGAAACTTTAATGGCCTTGATCTTATAATCCCTAGAGAACTGAAGCCAGGAATAATCAAGGAAGCGTTTCCAATGCTGGAGAATGATAAAAAGTATGTCATTAGCGTTGATGGGAAAAAGACTGCATCAGGACGTACAAAAAAGGGTGGGGACATTGATTTGTTTGGTCACGAACCAAATGGCGACTCTCTCGCGAAAAAAGGATTCAATACATATTTACACAATTCAATTTGTTGCACCATGCATCAAATAGTGTTAGTTTGAAATAAAGTAGTAAAATAGGCAAGTTCGGCACTTCAATGGAGACTAGACAGGGGCCACCTGGGTGTCTTTTAGTAGGACCCCAATAGAACAAAACCATTTTCATGAGATTTTTGAACTCAACTCTATATGATGAAGTCGAATCATTGCATCATACTTTTACAAAAGCATATAGACAAGAACAAAAATAAAATATGAATATGTACATTTCCACTGGTTGTCAACTATCAACCCAATTTTAGTTTTTGATTTATTTCAACCTTTTCAATCTCTACCTTTTCAACTTACTTACGTACTCCCATGAAATCACATAGGCCTGCATTACTGAGAAGTCATCAATAATATGCACGCAGTTTGGAAGAGTATGCACGCAGTTTGTGATTTCTGGTAATATAAGCACTGACTCATTTTGAAGCTTATTGGATTTTGTAGGTAATCGTCTTCATTTTGTCTTGGCCAAATATCATTGACTGAAATATATTATAGTTACAACTATCTTAATTATCCAAAGATGAAGGATAACACATATGTATTCATTGTACTTTTTGGAAGTTTCTCCCAAAATGAAAATGCCGAACTAAATAGAACAAGGTAAAAAAGTATTATTATATTTTTTTCTTATAACTAGCCAAAAACTCGGAAAAACTGAATCTGATTGAAGAAATTAATTAAGCCAAGCTTATTCAGAAAAAAAATATATATATCCGAAGCCAATAGCAGATAGAAAGAAAGATTTCTGCCATTGTAAATGAAATAAGCTACTTACCAACATATTTCTGCGACTTTTGTTATTCACATCTTATCTCTGCTGAAAAATCGTGCGGGATGTCGCGGGACATTCAAGGGATTTACGTGATTGGGACTTAATGTAAAAGTACTCAAATCAAACTTTCAGATACTGATTTATCAAATACGAGAATGCACTGACATAAATAATCACAATCTCACACAATATGCATAGAAATATTATTAAATATAATTATTATTTTGATACCAAATAACGGCAAACTAGGTACTTGAGAAGCCAACTATTGTGTTATTTGGATCAAAATCACAGTTTTTTAAATGGACTATATGCTCTTTCCAAAAGCAGATCTGATGCACTGGGAGTTTGGCAGCACTTTTCAAATTAGATAAACTTTACTCCTCAAAAGTGCAAAAAAAACTTAGCTTCTGATCTTATATCACGAGATAATCACAACTATTTAGCCTAGGGGATTGCAACAATTTTGGAAATTCGCGGAGGTCAGGCCGACATTCGCGGGACTTCGCGAGACATCGCGGGACACGCGAATTAGCCAAATTTTGATCAAATTCGCGGGATAATCCCGCCATTCGCGGGACACTTGACAGACAACCAGATAGGCATGCTGTGGCGTCAGACTCAGGCTGGCCGCTTGGTCCCCAACGGCCCTTTCGCGTCTGTTTTTGCATTTATCGAAAACATATGGCCGTCTCAGAGTCAGGGACGCCCTAAGGTTATCTGTCTAAACAAATTCAAAATACGCAGTGCAGCTACCCAAGTGACTGCTCCACTACACGAGCATTCATGTGCTGCGGCAATCTTTTATATTATCTCTTTTTATAGGGGCGCGATTACAGGCGTAGAACCTATAATAGAATTAAGAAATGCCATACTACTTATTCTGGGCTTTGGATTATTCGCTGTATTAGTTGCAATTACGTCCCATCTTATAAGAAAGCACATTTTTCGAGATGCTTCAAACGTGGACACATCATTTGATGCAGGTGGAAAGGTTTCCGTTGGACTGACTGCAGCGACTCTTGTGTCTCATATGACAACGGCGGGATCTCTGATTCAGTCAGTTACAGTTACTGTAAAGGTACAGACATTATATATCCAATCATATCTATAGGCAAGTGAAAAACCGTAATAAACAAAAAAAAATAAACAAAAACATGGAGGGCCTAGACTTACCCTGATTCAGCTTCTGTATTCTGACACGTAGACTAAACAGCATCAACTAAACTCGTACAGCACTGGCAGCATTGTTGGAACTCTTCAAAACGGACCCCTTTCAGTTAACAAAATGGCGTGGCCTCGGGGTATGATGTTTCTTTTTCAATGATTTCGCGGAGATGGATTCACGATTCTCATTATTTTGTTACGTAAGCAAATTTTAAAGAAAAAGGATGTAGTGACATCTGTTCTTATGTACCAGAAAAATTGTGGTGATTCTCGTGAAACCATGGAAAAGGAAAACGGCATCCGAGGCGATCCATTTTCTTAGAAAGTTTGAAGAGTTCCCCCATGGTGTACAGGTATCTACATGTATCTCATATTTGAGTGTGTTTGGGGTAGATATCATCAGGGAATATATATCATATCTGAGGAGCGGGCAGGATATATGGTATATGTCCCGCTCCAGGCTAAATGCGGGCAGATATAATATATATATAATAATAATAATATTTATTGACACAACCTCATGTACATGTACAGTGCGGTATCGTCAGGCTAACTAAGTATAAGGAGATGCATAAAAAAATATATATATATATATGATACAGTGTGTACATTTTTAATATTAATATAATATTATATATTTAATATATCTATCCCGCTCCCCGGCATTTTTCAAAAATTTAAAAAAGTTAAAAATTTTAGAAATTTTGAAAGTTTAAATTTTTTAATAGTTTAAATGTTACAATTTCATTGTATTTGAACTAAAGGAATATTACGAAAATGTTAAATATAACTTGTGCTTTTTCAGTATAGGCCTATTTTGTCATTCGAAAAACTTGCATGTTTCCAATTGGAAAAGGTTATTTCTACCCCAAACCCACTCAAGTATGAGATATACCAGTTATGCACGGTCGGTTTTGGATATAGGGTATATCCCTCGTGAAATATTTATTCCTCCTCTTGGTCCCTTCGGTCCCTCGGGTAGATTAGGATATGCCCTATATCCAAAACCTCCCAGTACATAACCCTTATGTATCTAACTATTAAACAATTAAAAGTTAGATACCAATGAGCAATTCCAACTAAATCTTGTTTTTAAGTATGGCATAAGTGGACCAGTTTGGTATGGAGTTGGTATATCGTTATCATATTTGTTCGCTAACCTATCCATCCACCTCAAGACGAAGGCGCCGGGTGCAAAAACATTCCTCCAGGTAATTTGGCAATGTGTTGAATCTAGGTTCTTGGATCCGATGTTACTGTTATATAATTCATTTATCATTTTTTGTATTTATTGCAGTTGAAATTCGTGATCTAGATATCGATATATACGTTCAAGATTAAAGCAGGTTTTTATAACCAGTGATACATTTTCATCAGCGGGCAGGATAAAAAGCTTATTTAATGGGAGGGACGGAACGTGAATTTTATTCCGTAGCCCTCGGTTAAAATGATAGTTTCCATATTGTTTGGGAATAAACAGATGTATCCTACAATCGAACTATGGCCCTCCAGGCACATTAGTATTAGGTATGACTCCCCCACTGTTTTGCCGTTTTACTATGACTTGCAATTACCCAAATGCGAGTAAGTAGCTACCAGTTTCACCACCAGGTGGCTGATTCGGGTCAATTAACATGCAGGTATATAAGAAAGTTCCCTTAAACTTGAATATTATCAATTTAAGTGGCTCAATTTACATATAACACTTATGTGCCTGATACTTATACTAATGAAAATATGTCCAGTAAAGCAAAATATTATCTGTCCATTAAAAGAAAAGATATTTCATTTTTGGTGATTTTATAGCATGATGTCTATGGGGAATCTCCCCGAGCTAGAAGTCACATTTTCAAAGAAAATTAATTTTTCAAAGTTGATAAACACTTTTTAAAACCACATTTCTAGATGTATTTTTACACGTAGATTTCAAATATGCTATTAATTTTAATTTTTAATGACGTAAATCAAGATTATTTCATGGTTACCAAAGCCTTATCGTTACCATGGCAACCGTGTAAAAGGGGTAAAAAATGGGAGCAAAAGAGCATCCAAACCCACCATTATGGCACTAATTTATAAAATATGTCTACACATACAAATTTCTTAAGCTGCAATATTATCTTAAACATTATTAGACAACAAAAATGTCAAAAAATTGGGGGTAGGTTTACCACTTCGATTTTTCTCGGCGTGGTCAAAGTAAAACTACGACAAAAGCACTCATTTTCACTTTAGAATCACCTATTATCGCCCAAATGGCTATATTTTTTAAGGGCAAGGTCGCCATTGTGTAAGTAGAATCACGGAGCTAAATCTGCTTTTCAGACAATGTTTGATAGTTTTTCTTTGCCACGGAACAAAGATCTTTGCACTGGTATGCCTATCTTTCCATGAGATAATTCACGGGAAAGAGGAACTATACTTTAAAATGTCATTACGTGAAAAGGCCATTTTCGCACTACTTTTGGTGTATTAATTCCATAATATTGACCTCGGGATATCCCAATATTCTGAACCTCAAATAAGACAATCGCTGTAATTTAGATATATTATCTTCCACTGTATTACATAACAACGAAAATATACACGATTTTAAAGCATGGAATCATTCAGTAACTAATGCATTACATCACCATGCTGAAGAAAACATTAGAAGTATAAATGAACAACAGCATGTATCTTAGGTGATCCGTGCTAGGTTTGGTGCTCCAGCCCACATTCTGTACTCTGTGTTTGCTGGTGTTACCAACATTGTGGTTACATTGATGATATTACTGGCTGGTAGTGTTATCTTGACTAGCCTAACATTGGATCTTTCTATTGAACTGGCCTGTATGATATCAGCTGCTGTTATAGGTGAGTATCCTATTTTCCTCTTTCCAAATGTACAAGGAGGATTGGCTCCAAGGATCGCAACTCGATATTTTCCAACAATGTAAACGTACGCAAAATGTCGTTATTTTTTAATTACAACCGACTATAAATTCAAAAAACAGTCCAAAAGATTCGAACTAATATCTCCCTCTTTTCTTGTGAGTTTTGGAATTTTTCGTTTGGAAATAAGACCAAAATTCACAATTCAAATGTTGAAGTGAACAAAATGGCGGCTGTTTGAATTCGAATTTTGGAATCACGACATGCCCATAGATGGCAAAAATATAGATTTTGCACTCTGGGAGCCAATCCTCCTTACCTGACGTAATTAAGTTTTGTAAATATCACAAATTCAAATTACAACTTTCAGACTTGCCAACCTAAAATGAAAAATTTTCGGGAGATTTAAAAAAAATTGCGGTACTTTTACGGGAGTTTTTTCAAAATCCGGTAGTTTTTGCGGGAGTTTTTTGAAAAAAAGGGGGAGTTATAACGGGAGATTTTTGAAAAAACTGTAGTTTTTACGTGAGATTTAAAAAAACGGGAGTTTTTTGCGGTAAATTTTGAAAAAACGGGAGTTTTTACGGGAGATTCTGAAAAAACTGCAGTTTTTACGGGAGGTTTTTTAAAAAAGGTATTCTTCGCGGTAAATTTTAAAAAACGTGACTTTTTTTACGGAAGATTTCAGAAAAAACGGGAGTTTTTGCGGTAAGTTCTGAACAAGCGGGAGTTTTTACGGTAGGTTTTGAAAAAACGGGAGTTATACCAAGAATACGGGAGATTTTACGGGAGTTATACCAAGAATACGGGAGATTTTACGGGAGTTATACCAGAATACGGGAGATTTTACGGGAGATTTCAGCAAAAATACGGGAGATTTTACGGCCATATTTTTTAAAAAAATTACGGGAGATTTTAGTAGAAATAAGGTACGGGAGTTTTTACGGGAGGAAACGGTACGGAAGTTTGGTATTTTTTACGGAAAAACAAAAAATTTACGGGAGATTCCCGTAAAAACGGGAGGTTGACAAGTGTTCCTCATGTGTTCATCATTACTGTTTAGTCAAGTTAGTCGAACCAAAACGATAAGATTCAGCAAGCAGTAGTATAGTGAACAAGCAATTATTTGATTACAAACTATTGTAATTAAATGCTTAATATATCCAAAAGGATATCAAGCTGTTACAATATTCTATTTAATGTATGTAATATTACTGCTGAATAAAAAAATAAATACTTGAATGTGTAACAATATAAACCCATTGAGAGGTACCTCATTGATTGTTGAGTTTTGAAAAATCAGATATTGCACTATCTTATTTACACGTGATAATGGAACTCTGTGTAATTTTAATTTTTTCGAAAATAATAAATAAAACCGTGGCATATTACTTTCTCCCCTTATCACTGCGAGCTACCCTGTGTTCATTAATTTTTGAAAACTAAACGATAACCTTATAAATAATATATTTAGCAGTTATGTCCCTATCATTGAATATATGCCTGAGGTCTGTCACCAATATAGCCCGAGGTTGCGAGGGTTATATTACGACAGACTGTTGTATTACATACTTTTATATCATGGCTACGTTATATCAATGACGCCACGTGTCTGTGTGCGAGTGAAAGTAGGAAGAAATGAAACATGACGTCCCGATGACGTCATAAGATTGTCATGGTAAAAGGTTTGGCGGCTATACTTAGAGGTTATGTCACTATGACGTGAAATATGCCTGAGTTCTCCCAATATAGGCCGACCTTGGGAGGCTCTATATTTGGGCAAGTGACATAACTGATGTATTACATGCCTTTGTTCCCATGGTTACTTTGTATCAATGACGTGACGTCATGATATTATCATGGTTATTAAAGAAATCTAATATCAAATGCTTCGCTAGGTATGTAATACATCAATGGAGCTGAAGGTCGGCTATATATTCCTGTATTACATACCTAGCGAAGCATTTGTATGGAAGTCAATGGGAAAGTTAGCGAGCTATATCCACCGATATTGCCCGATTACCCCGATATAGCCCGCTTACCTCGTTTTGATATTAGATTTCTTTAATAACCATGATAATATCATGACGTCACGTCATTGATACAAAGTAACCATGGGAACAAAGGCATGTAATACATCAGTTATGTCACTATGACGTGAAATATGCCTTCGTTCTTGCCCAAATATAGAGCCTCCCAAGGTCGGCCTATATTGGGAGAACTCAGGCATATTTCACGTCATAGTGACATAACCTCTAAATATAGCCGACCTTCAGCTCCATTGACTTCAATACAAATGCTTCGCTGGGTATGTAATACAGTAGTATGCTAAATATTGTAGGTTCTTATACTTTAATCGGTGGCCTTGGTGCAACCTTCTACGTATCTTACTTCAACAGCGTCTTGATATACTGCTTCGTTATTATAATGGCTGTTGCAATATTCTTAAAAGTACCAGAAATGAATGATTTACCATATGGGAATTCAGACATTATTTATTCATACATCCAAAACGCAACGGGACCAGACGGTAACTACAATGGAAGCTACCTGACATTTCTCTCCCCTGGTGGTTTGATGTTTGGAATCATCGGTCTGGTATTGGCTTCTGGTGTACTGATTGGGGACCAGTCATATTGGCAGAGTAGCATAGCGGCAAAACCTGGTCACGGTATCTGGGGGTTTATTGCTGCTGGCATTACATGGTTCGCCATCCCATTGGCGCTTGCAACAAGTGTAGGATTGGCTTACATAGCAATGGAAGAATGGCAGGGGTCCCCTATTCTCTCCTCGATTGACATCGAAAAGGGTATATTCTTTATTTGACGTTCTACTGTATCTTATATTACCCACAACTTCGTTTTCAAGAAAAATGTTCTCTTGACATTGATCACATGCACATACATGTATGGAGTTGCAAAATATACTTCATCCGAATGGGATGAAGTATTATTTAAATTGCACATTAAAGAATATTTGTATATACAAGGTGGTCCAAAACAAAGTGAACTGTTGCAATTGGCTATATTTCCCTTAATACATGCAGGAATCCTTTCATATTTTCACATGTTGTAGAGGAAGGTATAACATTTTTGTTGGAACCATACATTTTTCGTAGTCTTGACATATGCAGCAATTGTAAGCCCTAACCAAACATCACTGAAAATCGATAAAATGCTAAAGCTACGTTCACACAACGGCGCTTTGATGGCGCTTTAAAGCATCTTGTAAAGCGGCACCAAAGCGTAACAAAGCTTGATTAAAGCGTCGGGGTCGTAATAGGTCGTAGAAAAGCTCGGAGTAAAGCGGGATATTCGGCAAGAGCGCCAAAATATTTTAAACTGTTTAAAAATTTTGGGCGCTCTGTTACGAATTGATTAAAGCGCCAAGAGCGTATCAAAGCTTAACAAACCGTAACAAAGCTCAGCAAAGCTTGACCCAAAGCGTAGGAAAGCTTAACAGAGCTTGGTTCAAAGCGGGGACCCCAGTCTCTTCACAGTCTGTTACCACTTGACACGCTTCGTTAAGATGTCTCAAGCTTTGCTACGATCTGGCATGAAGATCTGACACGAGGTCAGACGCTTTCATCAATATCTGACACTGGTTACGCTTTCATGAAGGACTCTCAAGCTTTCCAACGAATTGAGACGCTTTAATCAAGGATTGAAACGCTTTGTTAGGCTTTGTTACGCTTGACAAGCTTCCTCACGCTCTCTCACGCTCTTTCACGCCGTGCGACAAACATCATGTCTTCCTCAGGTAGGTCATGCTCTGGTCCATCTGGAATTTCTGGATATTGTTGTTCTGCCATCGTGTTCTCGAGTCAAAGATGCAATGGTTTTATGAATCTACTGCATCTTTATATAGTCATTGGATCAAAAGCGGCATGAAATTAGCGATCTTTACATTTTGCAATGCGTGGCAGAGCTTAACAGAGCGTAACAATGCACAACAGAGTTTGGCAATCGTATCAGAGCCTAATTTAAAGCGTCATAATCGCATCAAAGCGTAATAATGCGTATCAAAGCGTGATTTTAAGCGTAACAAAGCCTGGTCGAATCGGGATCAAAGCGTGAGGAACCGTAACAAGTCGGGAAATCAGAGCTTATCAGAGCGTAACATTAAAGGAGATCGTGATATTTTAGGAAAAGTAAACAAAAATGACGGCGCTCTGCTCGCCAATTGAAACCGTGGCATTCGCCGTTGGTGTGAACATGACTTAACTTCAACATTTGCGATTCTTCAACCCATCAACAATCTTCCCATTGAAATTTTTTCAGCCGCAGTCTGAAAAACCTAATGTTTTCTGACTTTGTTTGGAATTGAATATTGCACATTATGGTGTAAAAATTAGCATCCTGCCTCCATTAGTTGCAAAGTTAAATGTGGTCCAAAGAAATGTTCTAAGTTTCCAAAGATGAAAACATCTTCCAGTGAAATCGCAACATACCCCTATATGGTCTTAAAATGTCAATATCTTCATCAATCATAGACCAATTCTAATGAATTATAACTCAAACCAATGAATATTTGATTTCCTTCTGATTTTTGTAAGATATTTATATGTAGGGTACCCTTTGCATTCGTTTGACTTCACTTCTTAAAAGAGAGCTTCGTCTTCGTCTCCGTCTAGTTTAACTAGACTCTGCACGCAGGGTATATGTAGGGCTTCTCAGAGTTTGGATCACAGGGGATACCTTTGCCCCCTCTCACCGTTTGTGTAGGTAACATGCCCCTTAACTGTTGAATGGTTAAAACAGCTTCAAAATGGTCAATGAAAATGTATAATGTGTTTTCTGCTCAAACATTGTCCCATTTGTCATATGGTATGGTTTAAACTTATATCTCTCACTGAAAGCTTTTTTTAAATCATCCAATGTGTTTCAACAAAATTCAAGACTTATAATTAATTATGGCATCAACAAAAATGTTAGACCTTTCTCTATGCATAAATTAAGGAAAATATAGCCTGTGCAGGGGTT